CCAGATTCTACTGGAAACATGACGAACAATTGTATCCTTTGAGAAGGAAAAAAGGAAAAGGTGAAGACAAACATGCTCCCATGGAAAGAACAAGATATGCATATGAAAAGTACCGTGAAGTTAGAAGTCAAATTACATCTGGTCGAACCTTTACAGTAAACTTTGACGAAGGAAAGAACAAAGAAGGCTTCATGGGAGTACTTGCTGCAATTCAAGACGGAAATAAGAAAGGATACAATCTCAGACTAACCGTAACAGATTTAGATGGTCACATTTACTATGCGCATGGCAATGTCACAACAGCCGCACAACTTCTTGACGCTTTCAAGACTACAAAGAGAGAACAAATGGTTGACTCCGACTCAGATATTTTGAATGCAATTGAAGGAATTGTAAGCGTGAAGTTCGAATGGTATCAACCTAACCCTCAAGCAGTCAGACAACATGTTTGTTAGATGAGAAATATGAAATGGCATACCATTTTAAAACATTGCATACCATTTTAAAACAGTATATTTTTACATATATTAAATGTTTCAGGTTGAAAAACAAAGAACAAAAGTAGCAGATACAAAACCGTTAGACTATATCTTTACAAACGCCGGTAGGACTATATCAGATGAAGAAATTTCATCCCGTACTTACAGGTTTGACTTTCCAATTCGTTGGCTTCAAAGTCCTTCAGATGCAAAGGCAATAGGATTTAGAAGAGTTTTGTTTTCAAAAAGAACTAACGCATTTATGTTCGCAGTATATTTTCATGGGCAATATAGAGGTTCTGATGGTCTAATAGACAAATTTGACGAAATGAGAATCTTTACAGTTCGTTCAGACGAAAACCTTGAGAAGACTCTAAATGACTTTCAAACTCAAATGAACAAATATTATTGGGAATTTCAAGAAAAATACGACTCTTTACTAAATGGAACATACTATCTGAAACTAGAATACAACAAGATGAATTCCACCGTTTCATTTCAAAGGATTGAAATTAACCCTCGAAGAAGTACAGAGTTTTTATTTTGGGAAGTAGACAAACGTTCTTGGGCACAATTTCTTCGGTTACTAAACCAGAACGAACCATTACCACCTGACGGTCCGTTTAAATTTATACGCCCACCAACAGATTTGACAGTTTATAGAAACGTGTTTGACCCTCAAAATGTCATGTGTCATGCAAGTTTCAGTTCAAGCAACAACAGTTTTCTATGTATCGGTAAGGACTTTTATGACTTTGCTTCTAAATTCTACGAACCACCTAGTAACAGTTTCTCTGACTTTCAAGTTTGGTTCACAACAAACGGTGTGCAGCATATTATTCCATTGTACTATGACTTTTATCTCGAATTGTCTTTCATATACAACTACGGAAAAGTGCTGAAAAAGTATTGAAAAATGAGTTTTGGTTAGATGTTTTTTAGGTGTGCCTATGTGCCTATGTGCCTCGGTCATTTTAACTTCTCTGAAAAAGTGTGACAACATGACATTTTGACAACATCGTAGAAAACACACAAAACTCATGAATTTTGTATAAAAAAAGCAACCGTCGGAATTCCGGCGGTTGGTATATTCTTCACAAAATGCTTGTTTTGAGGTTAAGCCACAAACGAATGTCCGACGGTTAAGCCACAAACGGATGTCCGACGGTTAAGCCACTCAAAAATATTTTTTATTTTTATTGTACGTACTGAAATGACAGTCGAAGCAAAAACGTTCACGAACAAATCTAATGGCGAAACATTCACAAAAGGCACTTACAACGGTATTGAAGTCTTACGTAGAGACAAGGATGGTTATATAAATGTAACAAAGATGGCAAGAGAAGCAGGAAAGTTAAACCATTTAAACAGATTTCTCAATAGTGCTAAAATGGAGGAAATTCTTGAGTTTTGGTTGAAAGAATACGGTCGAGCCAAAAGTGGCTCGACCTCAAAACAAGCATTTTATGAGCTTACTAAGGGCGTTATGAATGAATTCAAAGGTATTTACATACATCCTGACCTCGTTCATTTTGTTGCTGAATGGTGCTCTGTAAAGTATGTATTTTATGTCAAAGATATTATGGACTCCATAGACAAGAAAGTTCATGAGAAATTAGATGAAGAAGAACTTGAAGATACAGTAGAGAATGCAAAACCTTTGTTTGAACAAGAAGTTAGAAAAATGCATGAAAAACAAATAGAACATGAACGTGAGATATGTTCTGGTTATAGAGATTCTCCATACGAACTAGACCAATGGGAACAAGAAGATTTAAAGAGAGAATTTAGAGAATATGAACTCGCTAAGATAACATTAGAAGCTGCAGAAGAGAGGTTAAAAGTTTGGGGTCGTTTTGTACAAAAATATTGTGAGTAAATGAACCATTTTTTTCGACAAAAATAATGTTTATGTTAGAATGTTAGATCTAACATGTTTTCTAACACGTTTTCTAACATGGTCTAAAACTCATGAGTTTTATACAGAATTCAGCAAAAATAATGTTTATGTTAGAATGTTAGATCTAACATGTTTTCTAACATGTTTTCTAACATGGTCTAAAACTCTTGAATTTGTCGAAACTTCTTCGTAAATGTTTTGTCAAGACTTCTTCGTAAATGTTTTGTCAAGACTTCTTCGTAAATGTTTTGTCAAGACTTCTTCGTAAATGTTTTGTCAAGACTTCTTCGTAAATGTTTTGTCAAGACTTCTTCGTAAATGTTTTGTCAAGACTTCTTCGTAAATGTTTTGTCAAGACTTCTTCGTAAATGTTTTGTCAAGACTTCTTCGTAAATGTTTTGTCAAGACTTCTTCGTAATGAGCGTAAAAGACCCAAAAATAATGTTTATGTTAGAATGTTAGATCTAACATGTTTTCTAACACGTTTTCTAACATGGTCTAAAACTCATGAATTTTCATGAATTTCCTTAAGATAGAAAAAATAAAGTTAGTTTTTTTAAAAAAAATATTTTTTATTTTTATTGTAAGAACATGTTAGCAACTACAGCACCAAACTCGCTAGTTATGAATCCAACATCTATGTTAGTAGAGATGAAAAACTTCATTCCTTCTTCATATACTTTCGAAACAAAAATCCAGAAGATAAAGCAGGAACTTCTCCAAGGAGATTTAGACTGTACCGCACAGAATGAAACAAATGAACAGTATCTTTATGAAATGCAAGACCTCATCGACCATTTACCTAAACTTCCTGAAATCCAACAACAAAAGCTTACTATTCCAGAATTTGACGAAATAGAAGTCAAAGCAACTGACTCAGTAGAAATAAAGAAGTTCATACGAAAGGTAAATTATGAATTCCTTGGTTTTCATTGCAACCATAAGGTTATGGACAAAGATTGCGACATGGTATATAAGAACATCTCTGACATATATAAATCCGGGGAGTTTAAGACCTACGACAACTTTGTTTCGTTAGTTGCAAAATGTGTTTGGGAAATAAGAGATAAAGATAGTAGGGGTAAGGTATGGAACGAACAAATAAGACCCGCTATGTTCGAGATGAAGAAAACCATTGACGCCTTAGTCATACTAGCAGGTAAGGTTTCAGAATATAACGCAAAAATGAACCCGCAATGTTCAAAATGTAAAGCAGCAATGAGGAAATATAACTACTCCGTCAAAGAGATAGAACGTATGCGAAACGACTATGCAGATTTAAAGAAAGAAGCAGAAAAACCAGCAGAAGATAAAATGAACATGTTAGAATTTCTGAACAAAAACTATCCAACAGCAGAAGATTTCCTTCTGTCTGACGTCAAGAAGAAGTATAAAGAAACTTTCGGTATCGTTAAAACTTTTGACATACTAAAAGAAGAAATAGAAGCTACAAAACTGTTTAAAGTCATGAACCATCGCAACATATACCATGTAAAACGCTTGTAAATAGTTATGTTAGAAAACATGTTAGAAAACATGTTAGATCTAACATTCTAACATAAACATTATTTTTGCTGAATTCCGTATGAAATTTCATGAGTTTTGTATGTTTTAGACCATGTTAGAAAACATGTTAGATCTAACATTCTAACATAAAATATATTTTTGTCTGATTTACGCTCATTACGAAGAAGTCTTGACAAAACATGTACGAAGAAGTCTTGAAATTTCATGAGTTTTGTATGTTTTAGACCATGTTAGAAAACATGTTAGAAAACATGTTAGATCTAACATTCTAACATAAACATTATTTTTGTCTGATTTACGCTCATTACGAAGAAGTCTTGACAAAACATTTACGAAGAAGTCTTGAAATTTCATGAGTTTTGTATGTTTTAGACCATGTTAGAAAACATGTTAGAAAACATGTTAGATCTAACATGCTAACATAAAATATATTTTTGTCTGATTTACGAAGAAGTCTTGACAAAAACTATCCAACAGCAGAAGATTTCCTTCTATCTGACGTCAAGAAGAAATATAAAGAAACTTTCGGCATTGTTAAAACATTCGATGTACTAAAAGAAGAAATAGAAGCTACAAAACTGTTTAGAGTCATGAACCATCGCAACATATACCATGTAAAACGCTCATGAAAAAAAGAGGTGAAAAAACAGGTTAGATCTAACCATCTACCCTAAAATATATTTTTGCTGAATTCAGCACAAAAATCATGAGTTTCCTTAAGACAGAAAAAATAAAGTTAGTTTTATTTTTATTTATTTTTTTATCCGGAATATAAAGACAGATATGTCAACAACAGAGAACACAACAACAGTTATAGTCCATGAAGCTATAAATGAAGAATATGAGTACATACAGTTTAACAAACAACTCCGTCTCATTCGTTCGGTCAAAGACGATATGTACCAAATGCAAAGTATTTTGAATGCTCTTCGTTCTACAAAGCAAGCATATCATTGGTTTGAAAACCAACAGACAAAAGAACTTTTAGAAGAATTTCCTCATATGTTTGCTTCCCTCGGAAAACCGAGGGAAGAGATTCCATTCGAAAATCGCAAGAATTTGGCTCCTTGTTTGAAAGGATATTATGTACATAGACTTCTTGTAAATGCTGTTGCAATGTGGGCTTCGCCTCGTTATGCTTGTTATATTTTCATGATGTTAGATGAAATTCATAGACAAGAACGTGAAGAGATGGAAAAGAAACTTCAAGCAAAAGATGAAGTCATTGAAGCAAAAGACAAAAACATACAGAAAAGAATACCACGTTCGGTACCAAAAGGAAAGGAAAAGAACTATAAGTATATGATTTATACTGAAGAGATGGAAAATGAAGAAGATAAAGATATGGTTATGTTGCATTTAGTCAGAAGAAGAAGACAACAAAAGCTTTTACGACCTTGCTAAGATTTACAAATCTGACAGAAATTGGTTCTATCGCGAAAACTTACCGATTTCAATGACACCGAATGAAGATGTGAAACAAATAGTTCAAGATACGTTACCTCAAACACACTATGATATGAAAGGTTGTACAATACTTACCTTCAAAGAAGATTTGCCATTGTTAAAGGAAAAAATAACAGAGTATTTTGACAACTTCAAACAAGTAGGGTAGATGAACCATTTATTTTTGGTCTTGACTTCAGATGGCTCAGGTAGCTCTAGATGGTAAATTGTCTTGTCAAATCCTTCCGACATTCCAAGTTCTTCCTTCCGACATTCCAAGTTCTTCCTTCCGACATTCCGAGTCCTTCCTTCCGACATTCCAAGTTCTTCCTTCCGACATTCCAAGTCCTTCCTTCCAACTGGAAAAGTTTTTCTTTCCGACAGGAAAAAAATTTCCTGTTGTTCGTCCGTAAACCATTCAAATTTTCGAAAATTGAGAACTTTTTGGTCGACCTTCAGAAAAAGTTTTTCCTTCCGACAGAAAAAGTTTTTCCTTCCGACATTCCGAGTCCTTCCTTCCGACAGGAAGAACTCTTCCATCCGACAGGACACAAACGGATGTCCGACGTTCCTCTTCCTGAATGTCTTCCAAAGCCAGAAGAACCGACAGCCCCAGCACCACAACAGACTAAGACTAAACACTTACATTTTTACGCTTGACTTTTTACAATTTGAACTTTGTTTGCGTAGATATGAATTCTGAAAGAAGTATGAGGGTCTTGTATGACTTTGTACTTCTCCCATAGTTCATGTCTGTCAAACTTACCTGCCATGGACTCTTTCATAAGTTCCATGAAATCGTCTTCGGACAATCCGGGGAAAAGTACAATGTCAGTAAGTATTCTTTTAACATCCTTACTTAAACTCTTTGCTGTCTGTACACAAATGACAACTGAGATGTTAAAGTGTCTGAGCTTCTTAAGAATTCGACACATGTCTTGTTCTCTGTTCTTTAACAAAGGATGAGAAGCAAAGTCATCTAAGATAAGAAGACACCTATGAGGGTATGTCTTCCAATCGTAAGATTGCAATTTCTTCGAAATGTATTCTATCTCTTTCTGTTTGTTTCTGAAGTGTTTCTTCTCTAATATTCTCTGCATTTCCTCATTTGGGTCTTTAAACTTCGAATTTATATACTCATTTATAGCATTGTACTTCAAAACCCTTCTTTGGTACTTCTTTATCCAATCTAACAACTCAGAGTCTTTTATACATACTAACTTAGACTTTTTTATAATATCTTTGAACGAATTGACGGTTTGGTCAAATTGACCAGAAGTACTACAAATGACAACTAACTCATAAAATGGGTTCTTCTCATCTAGTTCTTGTTGTTGTGCAGCCATTTTAAGATAAGTGAAAGTCTTACCCGACCCAGGTGGTGCAATTAGACCTGTTATACCATTCTGAGCAAATAAGAACTTGTCATGTATAGGCTTTATCTGAGCATTTTCTAACTTCCTCTTGTTCTTGTTTAAAACATTCTCAAATTTCTTGTCAATGTCAGCAAACTTTTTTTCTAACATATTTTTAGAAAAATTAAAATTTTTATCTTTTTGAAAATGTCTAGCGATTTCGCTATCTATATTCGAGACAAGCTTTTCGACAGCAAAACATCTGTAGACCATAAAATCTTACATAGTGTAAACAAGAAAGGTGAATTTGTTCTAAAGTTCTGTTTCTGGGAATATGACAAGAACCATAAAACATTACAAAGAGCAGTCTTAAAATTTGTCAATGACAGACTTGTTGACAGAGATGACGCCGATTGGAAAGATGAAGTCCAACAAAAGTTCTTAGAATGCAAAGAAGGCACATGCGCTGTTCTTGAAGATGAAATAGAAAACAGAATAGAAGAGCTATTAAAGGACAAAGAACTTTTACATAAATATGGTTCTGAGAAATTTGACATAACTCCACCAGAAAAGAAGAAGAAGAGAGAAAAGAAAGAAAAGAAAGAAAAGAAAGTAGAAGAAGAGAAGAAAGAACCTGAACCAGTTCCAGAGAAAAAGAAATTTGACATGTAAAAATAAAATTTTATTTTTAGAACATTTCTGGGTCAATGTCAATGTTCTCTTCCTCTTTAGGAGCAAACACTGGCTTAGACTCTAAAATCTTTTTACCTAATTTACCTTGAACTTCAACTATCTTAGACTCATAATATTCATAGTCGTCTGTCTTCTTTGGTTCATAAGGTATAACAAGTTTGTATGCTTTGCCTTCTTTAAGGTTTGAGAACCTTCTGTCAAAATTTTCTTTGACTGCTAACAAACCTTCTATGTCTAAGTCTTCAAATTTCGCACCATTTTTAGTCACAATAGCAAACTTAACTGGTTCGATGTTCCAAACTTTGTCAAATGAAGACTTTTCAAAATGGTAGAAGTAAATATTCAAATATGTGAATGGGTCTAGTTCTTCTTTAAGTCCTGACATGTACTTGTTTACTGAGATGAATTTCGTCATCTTTTCTATCGGATAAAAAAATATTTTTTTAAAAAAACGTTTTAAAATGGTATGCCATATAGCTTCTTGAATTTGTTAAGAAGTATTTTAACGTATTTTCCATCTGTATCTCTAGCGTTTACATAAGCATAGCCCGCCTTAGTAAAATATACTTGTAATTTCCTATAGTTTACGCCGGTATAAAAGTAGAAAGAGTCCTGTTCTTCGCTATAGTAGTAAAACTCAAACGTATGCTTGCCATAGTCTGTAATTTCAATTGCTTCATCTTCTAGTTCGTCGACAAATTCGAATACAATATCTCCAAATTTGCCTTTGTTCTTACTGTTTTCAGAACGAGTGACCCAGCGTAAGTTTTCAAGTCTATTGTCGTTTCTTATACGGTTTATATGGTCTACAAAAGGTAAATTGTTAGGGTTCGGTATAAAATGAGTTGCAATGACAACATGTTTTAAATAGTTTTTCCCACCCATACTCATCCTAGCATATCCGTTATTTTGCTCCCATCCGCTTAAAACTCTTTTTGTCTCTTTGTTTCTGACTTCAAATGACTCACAACAGTGAATTTCATATTTCTCATCTAACAAACAAGTTTTCCAACAGTCTTTTCCAACAAACTCAGCGTACATTTCAAATAAAATAAAAATATATATTTTTTTGAAAAATATACTGTTTTCCTTTTACTTTACATAACCTCCTGCTACCATAAGTCTTTGACGCCAACCCATACCAGCTAATGAAGGTTGACTTGGTTTAGTTTGGAAACTAAACTTTGGTTTTGGTTTATCTTCAGTTTTTGGCTCACCTTCTTCTATCGGTTTTTCGTCACTTTTCGGTTCCTCGGGTTTTACCCCACCTGCAGGAACAGTTGTGTCGTCAACATCTTCATAAATATCATATGCCATTTGTTTTTGTTTTCCTTTCAACTTTTTGTGTTTGTTGTAAAGTTTAGAATATTTCGACTCTAAGTCAATGAGATGTTCTATAATGAACTGTTGGTCAGTGAAGTAAACTTTTCCATCTGTTGTCTTGAAAACTCCTTCAGACTTCAATATTTTATTTGTGAGAGTCTGTTTCTTTTTTGAGATACTAGCCGTTCCATTTCTATGAAAAGTGACTTTGTAGTTAGGGTTTGTATTTCCAGACCTGGCACTTTCTATTATTGAATTTTTCTCTTCATCTGTAAGTTCTTTGACAGGTTTTGACAATGGTTCTGAACTTTTTGTTTGTGGTGTCAAATCTACCGTTTCAACTTCTTCGGTCATTTCATCTCAGTAAAAAATTTTAGTTTGGTTTGTTTTCAACTGGTTGTTTAGGTTTTTTAAGTCGGTCTAAAACTTCCTGAGGTATAGGAAGAACTTGACAAACACGTTGTGTAACTGCTGGAAGTCGACAAATCCATCTTGAACCCATTTGTCTCAATGCTGTATTGTTCATTTCATCTCAGTAAAAAACTTTACATTCCCCACGTTTGAGGCGGTTGAGGTTGGTTATTGTTTACCCACTGTTGTGCATGGTTATATCCTCTGTTAAAGAATCTTTCACCTTGGTCCATGTAGTGTCCTGCTTGGTTATAGTAGTCATTTGCTTTGTTATAGTAGTTTCCTGCTTGTCTTCCTACATTGTCCATCCATCCTTGAACTTTTCCTCTTGTTTCAGGATTTGGAATAAGATTTGCTGCATCTCGTGCTACATCCCAACCTTTCTGTACAGTTTGTATAATAGGCTGTGCTTTCTCTTTCAGTATACCTAATGTACTCAAAATCTTCCTTCCAACTCCAAATACACCTCTGGCTATTGTTCCACTGCGGGTAAAAATCTGGATGCAACTCCTGCTAATGCGCCAAATAAACCCATTTCTTATAGGGTAAAAATGACGAATCCAAACAAGGACCCCTATGTTTCTAAAGCGACAAAGAAAGCACTCATGGTAAAAATCTTTAGTTCAACACCAAATGCTTGGTTTATGGATATCTTGGAAAACATTCCGAGAGTTAGAACAGATGGACCACCATACTGGCTAATATTTGTCGGTCAAAACACAAGATACTGTGAAGCCATACCATTACAGTCCAAAAATATTTTAGATGTGAAAACTGCTTTGACAATATTCGTTGACAAATACCATCCAACAAAACTGACATCTGACTGTGAAAGTTCTTTCAAATCAGACGATATTAAAAACTATCTGCGTTCAAAAAATGTAAACCAATATTTCATTGTCGACCAAAACCATTCTGCTCTTGGTGTCATTGACAGTTGTATAAAATCTTAAGAGACTTAACCAACCACAAGGTGGTGAGGTAGATGAAATGTCATATGACGACAAATATAGACACTTCTCCATGGCAAAAGAGAACAAGTTTTAAATATTTACAATAGCCGTAAACAAAAAGGTTTGGGAAACCACTCCCCGAAGAAATGAAAAACAACCCGACTTAGAGAAAGACTATATATTTAATAGTTTAGTCAAAAGAGACAAACAAGAAAGAATGCCAGGCTTCAAAACTTAAGAAAGGTGACAAAGTAAAAATAGAAATACCTAAACGCGACCCATATGAAAATACTATTGACTATGACAACAACAAGTACCCGACAGGTACTCACCTTCGTGTTCGTAAAAATAGAAGAAAGTATACAAGAGAATATTATGAAGTTTTAGGCAAACATGGCAAAATGTACAGACTGCAAGCAGAAGATAAAACTACTATTGTCAGACCTCGTTTCAAACTTGTTAAGGTTCAAGGTGGTATACTTTCAAAGACAGTTCCTAACAAATATAAGACAACTCCTGACGAATATGCTAAAGAAGTTGAAAATGACGACTAAGCAATTCTATACCATGCGTAAACTGTCATGTAAGGTGGCATGTAGTCTTTACTCTGTCCCGTTGTTTGCGTATACCCTGAAACGCGATGTGTATGGTTTCCTTCTCCCTGTGTGCTACCCCAGAAACAATTTATAGCAAACTGAACGTCGTCTTTAACATCATATCCTTTACCTTTTTTCATTGCTGACCATCCCAAAATCTATGCTTATGCCAACCTGCTTGAGATGTACTTAAATCTACGTAGTGACTATGCGCAGGTAAGTTTTCACCTGAAATCGTTTTACTTCCACCTGTTTCCTTTGAAGAGTTTGCACAATACAAAAACTGTCGACTATTTGAGTCCAAGTTCCGAGACCAAGTACTACTTCTGGTCTGGTAGAGTTCATTGAGTGTAAATAGAACCTATAGGATATACTGTTTGAAGTATTTCTGTCTTTAACGTTTGAAGCTCTGTTTTGTCAGCTTTTTTATCATATAAATCTTGAGCAGTGAATTTAACTTTTTTTTCATCCTCCATGACATAGACATTTCTACATCTAATGTATCTCATCGTTGTTATGTCTTCTTCCGATGTTAAACCTTGTGGAAAGTTAGGAGGTTTCCAATTTAATACATCCCCACCAGTTCCATCAGCTCCTTCAACCGTTCCTTCAATATTTTCTATACCAACAGTTGCGAAGAAATCGTGTGTATGTCCAACGTCACTTTTCCTGTTTAAGGTTTCTTGTAAGTTTGTAATATTTGCAATGGTATGTGTATGAGTCTTTTTAGAATATTCTTTGTCAGCTCTTGTCACTTCACTTGACATTTATTGTCAACATATGTTTTATCCGCTTTGTCATCTAACATTGCTGGTAGTTCATCTACGTCATAGATGTTATGTGTATGGTGTTTTTGTGGGTATGTTCTATCTGTCCATGCGAGAATATAGTCTCTTGTTGCATCTACATACTCTTTGTCAGCTTTGTTGTCAATATCTGCCTTCAAAAGAAGTTCATCTATAGGTTTCTCGTTTAAAGTTCTTTTTGTTGGATTTATACAAACAGTATGGTTCTTACTGTCTTGAAACAGAAACTCGTCTGTCAATGGGTTATCGTCAGTTTTAAGTTTCCTTCTTTCAATGACTCAGATATCTTAGAATAGTTTGAAAAGTTTGTTGTGTTTCTTATTTAGAGCTTGTACAATGAGTTGTCGGTTGTGTTGTATTTCTCTCATAGACGCTGTTTCTTTCGACATTTTTATTCTAGATAAAAAATGCTTCCAATAGAAAAAGAAAATTCAAGAGTTGCTACAACTAAACCATTAGATGAACTTTTTACGAATGTCGGTCAAAAGTTTGAGACAGAGACCGTAAAGCATGAAGGCTATCGTTTTGACTACCCACTTAGATGGTTAAGAGACCCATCCGTCACAAAAGCTATTGGCTTTCGTAGAATGAAGTTCATTTCAGAAGCCATACATGGTTTCCCATTTACGGTCGCTTTTGAAATTCGATACTATAACAAAGAGAAACGTACGTATGAGAAAATTTGAACAGGGAAAACTTTACAAGTGAATTTGCTTGTAAACTTAGAAACAACTCTTCAAGCTTTTCAAGAAAAAATAAACGATATCTATCTCGAATATGCAAAACAGTACAACATTGACGAAGGAGAGTACCATCTCGATATTTATATATGACAGGAAAAATGCAACTGTTAAAATCAATAGAATAGAAACCTTGGAGAAGACGTTTATATTTCTACAAAATATAACAACTTGGCATGGTATAGGTTTCTGAGGATGTTAAATCAGCCTGCAGAATATCCAGTACACCCGAACTTTTATGAAGTCGAAAACCCTAATGGAACATATGAAAATGTTTTCGACTCAGATGCTATTATAGTTCATGCTTCATTTTCTGGTGCACAAAACTCTTTTTTATGCTTGGCAAATGACTTTTACGAAAAACCTACAAAGCTATATGAACCACCAAGTGGAAGTATTTCAGACTTTCAAGTATGGTTTACTACAGATGGAAGAAAGAGAATAGTTCCATTATACCATGCGTTTTACTTAGAACTTAGTCTCATATACAACTACTATCGAACGGTAAAAATATAATTTTTTAATACGGTTGAGGTGTTGGATTTGGTTGCCAACTAGACTGTGGTGCAGGTTCAGGCTGTTGTATAACAGGAGCTTGTTCTTCTGGTTCAGGGTCTTTAGGTATAATACCAACAAACTGACCTACTCTTTTACCAATATTTTTGACTCCGTTCCATACTCCTCTTCCTACGGTTTTTATTCCATTCCATATACCTCTTCCAACATTTCGAAAGAAGTTTCCAATACTACTGAAGAAACCCATTTTACTATATGTAAAAATCTAATGTCCGCCTAGTCTCTTACGTTTCCTTCTGAGTTCCATTGCATTCTTTAACTGGAGCTCATACATTCTATTTCTCCTCTGGTAGAAAACATACTCTGGGTCAACTCCTGTGTTCGCGTCATCTGCATAGAGTTGTTTATATCCCACTTCAGGGTTTGTATAAAACTCTTTCCATCTCATATTTGCATACCATGGTGGTAAGCCTAACGCAGCGTCATTTGACATGGCAGTTTGCATTTGTACATCTGTTGGCACTTGACCATAGTTTGCCATTGCAGTTTGTATTCTAACTTCATTTGGAATATTCTCTGGGTTTGGTTGTCCGGGTTGCTGTGCATTCGCTAAGTTCTGTGCGTCCATTTTAATATTAGATAAAAATATCTCTTACGAGTACATATACTGGACATTTGCAGGCATTGGTTCATCTTCATATTCTCTATATCTTTCTGCCACGTCAAATAAGTAAATGACACAATGGAAAAAACCTAAAACAAGTAGTCCTATTTCAAACCACATTTACTTACCAATAAAATTTCTTTGTTATGACACTTTCTCCGGTTTATAGGACCTCTCTCATATTCTATCTTATCGTATCTAAACTCATAGTCATGTATGTCCTCTAACCATCTCATGACACTTTCCAAACCACTTTTATCGGATGTAAAGTAAAAGCATGGATGGTTATGTACAACGTCTAAAGTTTCTAAAGAGTCTCTCAAAGTCCAGTCTACTTGGTATTGAAAATCATATGTGTTATAGAACGGCGGGTCCACTATAAAGAAAACATTTTCCTTGTCTTTATATTTTTCATACAACTCTGTCCAACGACATCTCACAAACTCTATACCCTCAGTATATTTTTCTATGTTCTCTTTGAAAACCTTTGTATAGTTAAGATATAAAACTTTTGACATAAGTGTTTCAATGTCATGAACTCTTATAGAACCACTATACAATAGTCTAGAAGATATACTATCCCAGTCAATATACTCTGCTTTTTTCAAAACCTCTCTGACAGTATTTTTCTTATCTAATGGTATACGTTCCATCTTACCTATAGGTATCTTTCTTTTAACTCTTTCAATATTTTGTTTGTGTCTGGTATATGTTTGAGACGTTCATATAGTTGTCGAAGTCATTGCATATAATCTTTGAGTCAGGAAATACAGTATGGCACAAATGAGATATATAGAAACTTCCACCGAACAAATCTACAAATGTTAGACCATTCGGTAGTTTCTTAAGTTCTCTCAATAGAATATCTTTACATCTACTCTTATTTCCAAAGAAGGGTAACGGTGGTTTTGTAAAATTCATTTGATATATATATAATAAAAATGTTTTTACCTGAAAAGTGACAGAAAAGTGACAAAACATGAAAACATATATATTTTGTGAAAAGCGACACATTATATAATGTTTTCGACCCAGAAGAAGGCTTCTTCCCAGAAGCAATGGAGGAAGAAGAAGAGTCCTCCGAATTCACACCAGAAGACTAACAATTATCCGAATAAAAACTTCATTTATACTAAACATCTTCGGGGCTAGAGGGCACGAAGTGCCTGGAAGCCCCACTACCTTTTTTTTTTTTTTTTTTTTTTTTTACTTCATATGTTAAAAAAAATGATACAAAATCGCTCGATATTGTATGAATTCTTACGTTTACAAAAAAAGTCACAAAACCCATCCTATCCTACTACTGACGTTGGGTCATTGAATTTTTCCCTAATGACGCCCGTAAACCATTCAAAATTCCTAAAAAGTTCTCGTTGCAGAGGACCCATAAACAGAAGAACTCTCTATTAAGTACTAAGTGATGAATGTACCAAAAATTAACCAATCAGTGTGCCCATGAAGCATATAGTTAGAACACATGTCTTGGGAGTATCAATGTTTACTCGATATCTAGGTAACTATGTTCAAATCTTAACTTATTCATACAAAAAACCTATATATCTGGTAGAAACTGAAGCCTGCAAAGTACCCATTCGATATGAGCGCCTCATGGGCTTCGGTTTCATAATGATTTGGACAAGCCCTCTCTTTTTTTAAATATGGTATTGCTCTTTATGAAGCATATAGTTATGACATATGTTTCATAAGGAGCAAACATTACCAGATATCGGGCAACTTTGATCAAAACGATATGTTTAAACGGTTATTATTTGTCACAGTGAACATTTTGTTTCTCTTTGAGGTGCTATCAACTCCTTAAATATTTTAAAAGAAGAGCTCTGATTGAATAGTTTTTATTAGATAAATTTGATATCTAAGCATCCTAATGGAAATTTATGCTGTCATGATGATGAGTTATATTATTTAACTCATTGCTGACAATTTACACTATGATACTTTATTATCAGGCTTATTTTTTCCACAATTTGAAATGGCTTAATATTTTATTTAATGGGCAAGGCCATACAAAAAGCATGAAGACAATTGTAATTGTTAAAATAATAAACATTACCAAACTGTCACAAAGATATAAAAGATGAATATAAGATCTTGTTTTTAAGATACAATATTGAGATGAATATCACACTAAGTATTACAGTTTATGGATCACACATTCTAATGTCTCTATCATTGTTTAGAATGTATTGATTGATCTAATTTACATTTTCATTACATATAATGAAGTTATTTTCAATTACTCAGATCACCTATCCAGAAACTATCAAAAAAGTTTGATTTGGGGTAAAATGGATTCATAAAACCGCAAATGAAAAAAGAAATTTTATATGAAACCGTCCTTTTAATGAATTTGGAACTACTTGCATCATTCGGCGATCACGTTTCCCTAACACAGTTCAAAGCCGATGACACTATTTCCGTTCTCGCATTCAGCCAGAACGGCCAATTTCTAGCCTCTGGCGATCAAGCTGGAAGAGTTGTTATTTTTCAATTACAGCCACCACGAAATGCGAACGGAAAGACAGTTGTCTCCTTTGTAAACCAAGTACACGCTCACAAAAATCAATTCGATTATTTCAGATCAGAGTTAGCCGAACCAAAAATTAATTCTCTCAGCTGGGTTAAGTCCAATTCATTGAATCCACTCCTTCTCACGTGCAACAGCCATGAAGCAAAATTGTGGCGTATGAACCAAGCCGCTAAGCCCACCTGGGGCCCACTTGACACAACACTTTCAGCAGATCAGTTCACTCTTCCATCTCCACGACAGATTGAAATCAAGTACACGACAGAGCATGTCAAGACATTCACCGACATTCATACAGAATATTTAATCGACGTACAGACTCTTTCTGATCAGAAATCATTTGTCATGGTTGATGTTGGCTGCGTTAAGTTGTGGGACATGGAGCGGTCCGTTGAATCTGTCAGTCTTTTCCGTGTACCACAGCAAAATGTCGAACTTACTGCTTCAGCAGTTACTCCGACACTTCCATCCGCAATTCTTATTGCCGACGATGCTGGCTTTGCCAAGATCATCGACATGAGACAGCAAGCGGAGGATCCTTCTCCATCACTCACATTCAACATTAAACAACATACAAATCCAAAGCGCAGTGTCTCCGGTTGCGAGTACGTTGGAAGCGTTGCTTTCTCAAACGATGGCATCAACATCGTTACTCGTACATTCGGCGAGGCACAGGTTTGGGATGTACGCAATCCATCAGCTCCAGCAGCACAATGCGACGTCCAATGGTTCCCAGGACAAATGGAATGGCTCGCGAACGATGAATATACAAAGGATATCTTCAGAACATGCTTCACACCAAGTGGTAAGGTCGTTACAGGAAATTATTCTGCCGATTTCATATCATGGGACTGGAAGACGAACGAAATCAATCGACACAAGGCAGTCTCTGCAAGGACTCCTCGTACTCCTCAGGATCCAGGCAGAGACTTCTCAAAGCGAGTTACTGTTTGTGAAGCTCACCCTCGCCATGAAATTGTAGCAGTTGTTTCAACAGCAGCTTTATACTTATTTAATGCTAAGAACGAGTGAATAGAATAAAACTTTGTTTCCAGAAAAAAATAATTTAAAAAAAATAATTAAAAATATATATATATTATACATGTAAGATTAATGATACTCACTCTCTCCATGAAAGTTCATTCGTTTTTAACATAAGAAGCTACAATCTTTGACTGAAGAATTACTAAGTAATTCATTTACAATATATACTAAATATATTATAGTATATATTGTAACATTCTGCAATTCAGGTCAACTATGGACTTATCTGCATCAAAGAAAGAATGCTCATAATAAAGAAGCTGTTCCACACTGGATATTCTGTATCAATCAATGGAACAAGTAGAGTTTAATGAATACTAGCATGACTAACTGAAGCAGTAATTAAATCGAGAATTGAGCTATGTTTTATGGATATCATAATCTAATTTCGATGATAGTAGAATATTATTAGTGTTTAGAGTATAAATCATTCTATACTATCCATGTTATAAAATGTTTGATCTATGTTTCACAATAATACTTAATATTTGGAGAATTCAATTTATAATCTTATTATATAAATATGTTTTTTATTATAAAAGATTATTCATATGTATGCATGACACTATTATAATCAAATAAAAAAAAAAAAAAAAAAAAAAAAAAAAAAAAAAAAAAAAAAAAAAAAAAAAAAAAAAAGGGAGTGGGGCTTCCAGGCACTTCGTGCCCTCTAGCCCCGAAGATGTTTAGTATAAATGAAGTTCTTATATACGGGTCTTCCAGGAGCTTTTCACAAATTATATATGTTTTCATGTTTTGTCAAGACTTCTTCGTAAAATCAGACAAAAATAATGTTTAGGGTAGAAGGTTAGATATAACCTCTTTTCTAACCTCTTTCTACCCTCTTGAATTTTCAAGACTTCTTCGTACATGTTTTGTCACTTTTCTGTCACTTTTCAGGAAAAAACATTTTTTATTATATATAAATGAATTTTACAAAACCACCGTTACCGTTCTTTGGAAATAAGAGTAAATGTAAAGATATTATATTGAGAGAACTTAAGAAACTACCGAATGGTCTAACATTTGTAGATTTGTTCGGTGAAGTTTCTATATATCTCATTTGTGCCATACTGTATTTCCTGACTCAAAGATTATATGCAATGACTTCGACAACTATATGAACCGTCTCAACATATACCAGACACAAACAAAATATTGAAAGAGTTAAAAGAAAAGATACCTATAGGTAAGATGGAACGTATACCATTAGATAAGAAAAATATTGTGAGAGAGGTTTTGAAAAAAGCAGAATATATAGACTGGGATAGTATATCTGCTAGACTATTATATAGTGGTGCTATAAGAGTTCATGACATTGAAACACTTATGTCAAAAGTTTTATATCTTAACTATACAAATGTTTTCAAAGAGGACATAGAAAAATATATTGAGGGTATAGAGTTTGTGAGATGTCATTGGACAGAGTTGTATGAAAAATATAAAGACAAGGAAAATGTTTTCTTTATAGTGGACCCGCCGTTCTATAACACATGGGATTTTCAATACCAAGTAGACTGGACTTTGAGAGACTCTTTAGAAACTTTAGACGTTTTACATAACCATCCATGCTTTTACTTTACATCCGATAAAAGTGGTTTGGAAACCGTTATGAGATGGTTAGAGGACATACATGACTATGAGTTTATATATGACAAGATAGAATATGAGAGAGGTCCTATAAACTGGAGAAAGTGTCATAACAAAGAAATTTTATTAGTAAGTAAATGTGGTTTGAAATAGGACTACTTGTTTTAGGTTTTTTCCATTGTGTCATTTATTTATTTGACGTGGCAGAAAAGTACAGAGAATATGAAGATGAACCAATGCCTGCAAATGTTCAGTATATGTACTCGTAAGAGATATTTTTATCTAATATTAAATGGACGCACAGAACTTAGCGAATGCACAGCAACCTGGACAACCAAACCCAGAGAATATTCCAAATGAAGTTAGAATACAAACTGCAATGGCAAACTATGGTCAAGTGCCAACAGATGTACAAATGCAAACTGCCATGTCAAATGACGCTGCGTTAGGTTTGCCACCATGGTATGCAAATATGAGATGGAAAGAGTTTTATACAAACCCTGAAGTGGGATATAAACAACTCTATGCAGATGACGCGAACACAGGAGTTGACCCGGAGTATGTTTTCTACCAGAGGAGAAATAGAATGTATGAGCTCCAGTTAAAGAATGCTATGGAACTCAACAGGAAACGTAAGAGACTAGGCGGACATTAGATTTTTACATATAGTAAAATGGGTTTCTTCAGTAGTATTGGAAACTTCTTCAGAAGAGTTGGAAGAGGTATATGGAATGGAATAAAAACCGTAGGAAGAGGAGTATGGAACGGAGTCAAAAATATTGGTAAAAGGGTAGGTCAGTTCGTTGGTATTATACCTAAAGACCCTGAACCAGAAGAACAAGCTCCTGTTATATACAACAGCCTGAACCTGCACCACAGTCTAGTTGGCAACCAAATCCAACACCTCAACCGTATTAAAATTATATTTTTACCGTTCGATAGTAGTTGTATATGAAACTAAGTTCTAAGTAAAACGCGTGGTATAATGGAATTATTCTCTTTCTTCCATCTGTTGTAAACCATACTTGAAAGTCTGAAATACTTCCACTCGGTGGTTCATATAGCTTTGTAGGTTTTTCGTAAAAGTCATTTGCCAAGCATAAAAAAGAGTTTTTGTGCACCAGAAAATGAAGCATGAACGATAATAGCATCTGAGTCGAAAACATTTTCATATGTTCCATTAGGGTTTTCGACTTCATAAAAGTTCGGGTGTACTGGATATGCTGCAGGCTGATTTAACATCCTCAAAAATCTATACCATGCCAAGTTGTTATATTTTGTAGAAATATAAACGTCTTCTCCAAGGTCTTCTATTCTATTGATTTTAACAGTTGCATTTTTCCTGTCATATATAATATCGAGATGGTACTCTCCTTCGTCAATGTTGTACTGGTTTGCATATTCGAGATAGATATCGTTTATTTTTTCTTGAAAAGCTTGAAGAGTTGTTTCTAAGTTTACAAGCAAATTCACTTGTAAAAGTTTTTCCCTGTTCAAATTTCTCATACGTATGTTTTTCTTTGTTATAGTATCGAACTTCAAAAGCGACCGTAAATGGGAAACCATGTATGGCTTCTGAAATGAACTTCATTCTACGAAAGCCAACAGCTTTTGTGACGGATGGGTCTCTTAGCCATCTCAATGGGTAGTCAAAACGATAGCCTTCATGCTTTACGGTCTCTGTCTCAAACTTTTGACCGACATTCGTAAAAAGTTCATCTAATGGTTTAGTTGTAGCAACTCTTGAATTTTCTTTTTCTATTGGAAGCATATTTTATCTAGAATAAAAATGTCAAATGAAACAGCGTCTATGAGAGAAATACAACACAACCGACAACTCATTTTGCAAGCTCTAAATAAGAACACAACAAACTTTTCAAACTATTCTAAGATATCTGAGTCATTGAAAGAAGGAAACTTAAAACTGACGATAAACCCAATGACAGATGAGTTTCTGTTTCAAGACAGTAAGAACCATACTGTCTGTGTAAATCCAACAAAAGGAACTTTAAACGAGAAACCTATAGATGAACTTCTTTTGAAAGCAGATGTTAACAACAAAGCTGACAAAGAGTATGTCATTGAAAAAGTTCAAGAAGAACATGACAGAGCAGATGCAACATATGCAACAAAAGAGGATGTTGAAAAGAAAGCTGACAAAGAGTATGTTGACGATGAGTTAGCATATCTGGCTAGTGGGTTAGTGAAGAAGGCAGATAAGGAATATGTGGATGAAAAAGACAATGAAATTATAAAAAGGGTTGAATGGTACCATGAACGGACATCGAAGATTTTAGAAGGTAAAGCCAATACAGGGTGGGTTTCAGGATGTTTAGACCTTAAAGCCGACAAAGAAACTGTAGATATGTTGACACAAACGGTTTCAAGTCATACCAGAGGTTTAATGGAAGATGGACAACAGTTGAAAGAGCTTGAGAAAGGTGTTACAGAGTTAAGGAATACAAAAGCAGACTCGACATGGATAGCTGGATATGTAGATGCAACAAAAGAACGTATTTTAGCATGGACAGAAGGAACATACCCACAAAATATCATAGACATAGCATCTCTGACGTAAATGAACTTGAAGAAAAGTTATATAAAAAAGCAGACAAAACAGAGCTTCAAACGTTAAAGACAGAAATACTTCAAACACTATATCCTATAGGTTCTATTTACACGTCAATGAACTCTACCAGACCAGAAGTAGTACTTGGTCTCGGAACTTGGACTCAAATAGTCGACAGGTTTTTGTATTGTGCAAACTCTTCAAAGGAAACAGGTGGAAGTAAAACGATTTCAGGTGAAAACCTACCTGCACACAGTCACTACATAAATTTAACTACAGCTGAAGCAGGTTGGCATAAGCATAGATATTGGGATTGGACAGGAATGACAAAAGGTAAAGGATATGATGTTAAAGACGACGTTAAGTTTGCTATAAATTGTTACTGGGATGACACTCAGGGAGGAGGAAGCCATACACATCGCATTACAGGATATTCGGAAACAACGGGACAGAGTAAAGACTACATGCCACCTTACATGACAGTTTACGCATGGTATAGAATTGCTTAGTCGTCATTTTCAACTTCTTTAGCATATTCGTCAGGAGTTGTCTTATATTTGTTAGGAACTGTCTTTGAAAGTATACCACCTTGAACTTTGACAAGTTTGAAACGAGGTCTGACAATAGTCGTTTTATCTTCTGCTTGCAGTCTGTACATTTTGCCATGTTTGCCTAAAACTTCATAATATTCTCTTGTATACTTTCTTCTATTTTTACGAACACGAATGTGAGTACCTGTCGAGTTCCCATTGTTGTCATAGTCAATAGTATTTTCATATGGGTCGCGTTTAGGTATTTCTATTTTTACTTTGTCACCTTTCTGAAGTTTGAAGCCTGGCATTCTTTCTTGTTTGTCTCTTTTGACTAAACTATTAAATATATAGTCTTTCTCTAAGTCAGGGTTGTTTTTCATTTCTTCGGGGGAGTGGTTTCCCAAACCTTTTTGTTTACGGCTATTGTAAATATTTAAAACTTGTCTCATCTTTGCCATGGAGAAATGTCTATATTTGTCGTCATATGACATTTCATCTACCTCACCACCTTGTGGTTGATTTAAGTCTCTTAAGATTTTTATACAACTGTCAATGACACCAAGAGCAGAATGGTTTTGGTCGACAATGAAATATTGGTTTACATTTTTTGAACGCAGATAGTTTTTAATATCGTCTGATTTGAAAGAACTTTCACAGTCAGATGTCAGTTTTGTTGGATGGTATTTGTCAACGAAGATTGTCAAAGCAGTTTTCACATCTAAAATATTTTTGGACTGTAATGGTATGGCTTCACAGTATCTTGTGTTTTGACCGACAAATATTAGCCAGTATGGTGGTCCATCTTCTCTATACCTCGGAATGTTTTCCAAGATATCCATAAACCAAGCATTTGGTGTTGAACTAAAGATTTTTATCATGAGTGCTTTCTTTGTTGCTTTAGAAACATACGGGTCCTTGTTTGGATTCGTCATTTTTTAACCCATAAGAAATGGGTTTATTTGGCGCGTTAGCAGGAGTTGCATCCAGATTTTTACCCGCAGTGGGAACAATAGCCAGAGGTGCATTTGGAATTGGAAGGAAGATTTTGAGTACATTAGGTATACTGAAAGAGAAAGCACAACCTATTATACAAACTGTACAGAAAGGTTGGGAGGTAGCACGAGATGCAACAAATCTTATTCCAAATCCTGAAACAAGAGGAAAAGTTCAAGGATGGATGGACAATGTAGGAAGACAAGCAGGAAACTACTATAACAAAGCAAATGACTACTATAACCAAGCAGGGCACTACATGGACCAAGGTGAAAGATTCTTTAACAGAGGATATAACCATGCACAACAGTGGGTAAACAACAACCAACCGCAACCGCCTCAAACTTGGGGAATGTAAATTTTTTACTGAGATGAAATGAACAATACAGCATTGAGACAAATGGGTTCAAGATGGATTTGTCGACTTCCAGCAGTTACACAACGTGTTTGTCAAGTTCTTCCTATACCTCAGAAGTTTTAGACCGACTTAAAAAACCTAAACAACCAGTTGAAAACAAACCAAACTAAAATTTTTTACTGAGATGAAATGACCGAAGAAGTTGAAACGGTAGATTTGACACCACAAACAAAAAGTTCAGAACCATTGTCAAAACCTGTCAAAGAACTTACAGATGAAGAGAAAAATTCAATAATAGAAAGTGCCAGGTCTGGAAATACAAACCCTAACTACAAAGTCACTTTTCATAGAAATGGAACGGCTAGTATCTCAAAAAAGAAACAGACTCTCACAAATAAAATATTGAAGTCTGAAGGAGTTAAAGAGACAACAGATGGAAAAGTTTACTTCACCGACCAACAGTTCATTATAGAACATCTCATTGACTTAGAGTCGAAATATTCTAAACTTTACAACAAACACAAAAAGTTGAAAGGAAAACAAAAACAAATGGCATATGATATTTATGAAGATGTTGACGACACAACCATACCTGCAAGTGAGGTAAAGTCAGAGGAACCGAAAAGTGACGAAAAACCGATAGAAGAAGAAAAACCGATAGAAGAAGAAAAACCAAAAACTGAAGATAAACCAAAACCAAAGTTTAGTTTCCAAACTAAACCAAGTCAACCTTCATTAGCTGGTATGGGTTGGCGTCAAAGACTTATGGCAGCAGGTGGTTATGTAAAGTAAAGAAAAAAAATATTTTTTTATTTTTATAAAAATGCCCCCATATAGAATGGATAGAAAATCTGCTAGAATAAAAGCAGAGTTGCAAAGATATGGTTGGAGAGTTTCGAAGAATTTTAAATATAGGAAGGGAAGACCCATAAAAGTCTATGACAAATTATCTGGTCTTCGCTATGAGATGGACTTGGAAACAGCGCGCGCAAATTATCCAAACAGACTAGAGAGGTTAGAAGAAGAACGTCTTATGAACATGCCTTTCGATGTTAGTGAACCTCAAGTTGAAGGACACGACGGCTTTGCCAGATTCTACTGGAAACATGACGAACAATTGCATCCTTTGAGAAGGAAAAAAGGAAAAGGTGAAGACGCACATGCTCCCATGGAAAGAACAAGATATGCATATGAAAAGTATCGTGAAGTTAGAAGTCAAATTACATCTGGTCGAACCTTTACAGTAAACTTTGACGAAGGAAAGAACAAAGAAGGCTTCATGGGTGTACTTGCTGCCATACAAGACGGAAATAAGAAAGGATACAATCTCAGACTAACTATAACAGATTTGGACGGTCACATTTACTATGCACATGGCAATGTCACAACAGCTGCAATGCTTCTTGACGCTTTCAAGACTACAAAGAGAGAACAAATGTTTGACTCCGACTCAGACATTTTGAATGCAATTGAAGGAATTGCAAGTGTCAAGTTCGAATGGTACCAACCTAACCCTCAAGCAGTCAGACAACATGCTGGATACTTCCCGTTCATAAATAAGTCTGACATTGACTTGACAAGGTATGGAATTTACAATTCAATTGAAAAAATTGTCAATGAACCTTGTATTCTTACATGTCTCAGGAACTCTGGTCTTGTTACAGATGAGAAGATGAAGTATCTTGAGTCATGTGTGAAGACAAGGTACATTCTCAGAGGTCAATTGGCAAAAATTGCACCGTTGGCAAATGTCAATATCCGAGTCAACATACCTACAGCTAAAGGTTCTTCACATGACGACTATGTTGTTGACAAAGACTTACCATGGTTGAAGATTGCAATTGTCCACAACCACTTCATGTTGAACGAAAGTCTTACAAACCCATTGTTCGGAAAAGGCAAGTGCAACATTGTCAGAGCTGTTAACATTCTTTTCGAGAAAGGTTTGTTGGAACCGATTCCAGATGACAAGCTGACAGAAAGTTTTGTACCAAAAGACGAAACAAACTTTTCACTGTTAGCAAGACCAAAAGTTGTTCCAGACAAAGTTCTAGTACAAAAGAAGTACACAGTTCCAAAAGGAGTTGGATTGTTCGGATACCAACCTGAACCAGAAGAACTTCCAATGAGGTTGCAAGAACTTCAAGATGCTATAAACAAACTCCCATTGAGACATCCAATCGACGTCAAATTGTATTGGAGAGCTTCTGAGTTAGGTCAGAAGGTTTTATATGAAACAGGTTGCTTCGACGATGTTTATGAGATAACAGGAGAAGTTTCTCAGAAGATAAGAGACTCGCTTGAATTTCCAAAAACTGGTCCGATTGGATGCGATAAGTTCGACTCAGATGAAAAAATATACTATGTCGACCTTAACGCCGCATACATGAGGTTCGTCCAATATATCCCGACTGGAATTCCAAACGAAGATGGTGAGTTCCCAGGAAGGAACTATACAGTTGGAAAAGTCATACAACAACTGTATGATATTAGGAAAGCTTCAAACCCCAAACTTGCAATGACATTAAAATTGCTTATGAATTCGACATGGGGGTATTCCATTAAAAAACCTCAAGAGATGAAGAGTAAACACTATGAGAAGGTCGACAACTTTGTTGAAAGGTTCTCCCCTTTTGTTTTGAAATACGAATTCACTCAAGGTCAAAGTGGCTTAGTAACCACATTAAAACCTATTGTCGAACATTGGTCTTACCCTCAGTTCGCAAAGGCAGTCCTTGACAACTACAACAAATTCTTCTCCGAAGTCAAATCCAAAGTGAAGGTTTACTATGAGAACATTGACGCACTCATGACGAACGAAGAAGGCTATAACAAACTCATTGAAATGGGAATGGTCGGTGAAAAGATGGGTCAATTCAAATTGGACAAAATTTTCACCGAAGTTCATGTCCTCTCCAAGCGTAAGTACTGGGGTGTTAAAGAAGACGGCACAGAAATAAAACATTGCATGAAATAAAAAATTTTTATTCGAATTTGAATCGGACAGGTCGAGTTACACCATTCTTGGTCTCAAACTCATATATAACCTGTTTGTTTGTATTTTCGTCGACTATGACACGAGACACGAACATTGACCAAACGGACAAAAAGTGTCATTTCGGATGGTCACGCAGCCAATCGCATTCGAGCACTTCGAAGAAGCCTTACGTTCCAAGGGAGAGGGTGTCTGGTGCAAGGCAGAGGTCATGAAACTCTACGAGCAGTACATCCTCAATGCCTGGGAGGACAAATCGTCCTTGGATTGGCAATTCTACCAACTCCTCTGGGACGACCTCCTACGCAACTGGGATGACGAAAGAGTCCAATTCAGGGGTCAGGAACTACTTGTCCAAATTCTCATTAATTTAAGCTACTTAACTAAATAAACACCTAAATTTACTTGGGGTTTCCCCCTAAAATAAAATTTTTTTACTCTTAGAACCACTCGAGGTTCTCCTTACGGTTGTTGAGCTTGTCACCGTCAATGTGTCTGACCTTCGTCCTCTTGTTTGGATTTGGAACCCATTGAATTGCGACAAGCTTGCCCATGGAGATTGAACCGTAATTCCGAAGGGTAAGGTTCAAGTGTCCCAAGTTGTTGAGGACTGGGGTAAGAACCTTGCCGGTCTCCCTGTTGCGGATTTGGTATGGGTAGGGTTGGGAAATTTCGTAAGTGTCATCGGCAACAAGGGTTGCCCAAACTTCCTCTTCTTCGTGTTTCTCTTCTTCCTCTTCCTCTTCTTCGTGTTTCTCTTCTTCCTCGACAATTCCTTCTTCAATTCTGTGTTCACGAATTACGGTGTTGCATGTTCTGTCCTTTCCGAGTACCTTCCAGATGGCGTCTATCTCTTCGAAGAAACGGTAGATGAGTCTGGCAAGGTCTCGGTTCTCTCTCGCGTAAATGCGCAAGGTTTCCGCTAAATCGTTCAGGACTTTCTCATTGGAAGCTTGGTTCATGAGGAACTCACCTTTAAGTCCCTTCATCTCTTCCATAAGACTACTTTGGAGAGTCTTAACGGTGTTTGTCAGATGAGCTTTCAATTGGGCAATTTGAATTTGAACTGGGCGCTTGTCTGGCAACATTGAAAGGACATCTGCCATTGTGTTCGGCTTCGGTGCTTGTTCGGACATCGAAAAAATGAAGTGGTTTGAGAATGACGGTTTTACTTCAAAAAGCTTGTTATGACGGTTAAGTCATACAACAAGTTTAAAATAATATCTTGTTCTTCTTCTGAACGTTTGTTGTCTCTTCCGATAAAAGTTTGGAACATGAGAACCAAAAAACGTTTTTTGAGATTGCGGAAGAGTTCAGGCAAACGTTCATATTCGGATATGTTGGGAGCAGTTCGAAACATCTGAGCTGACTTTCGGACAAAATTGGGACAATGTCAGAAAATTCATCTTTGGTCGGACTGCTTGAAGGTAAGTCCCTTACATGTAAGTAGCTCTGGTAAAGTCTTCTCATTTCTGCTAACTTTTGGAGTATAGCTTCGTAGTTTAGAAGTTTTAATTTTAATTGTCTTATTCCACTCTTTACTTCTAAACGGTAAGTATCCATGAGGTCAAGAGTAGCTTTGGTAGCTTTAAGTGGAGCTATCTGTTCCTTGACTTGTGCAATTTTGGTTGCAATTGTGGTTTGAGCTCCTTCAAGTTCGCCGTCTATGTCGTTCTCAACGTCTTCAACCATAGCTTGAAACTCTTCATCGGTCCATTGAGATTGGTGTGGACGAATTTAACTTGCTTCATTCAAAAAATGAAAAAAAAATGTTTTTACTCAAAGCGTGCCATGTATATGGCTATAAGAAACTTACCAGAAGGCTTCTTCTTCACATGAGACTCTGGTACTTGAGTGTTGGTGTTGGAGTTCTTGGGGAGGTGGCTCTGAAATTTCAAATCTCTCTCGAGCGCAACAACAGATGTCAGAATAACATTCCCCACTGTCCTTCTTGCACCATAAACTGTGTATTGACCAAACTTGCATTTACAGGAAGACCGGTCAATACAAGGTTCACAGTTTGAAATAGTTGTACACAAACCTGTTGAGTACGAGTGTGAGTAAAAAACATAAAAAAGTGAAGTGAAAATGAGATGTTTACTGAACTTTGGATGTCGCCTTCACAGGTTATGTAGAACGGCTGACCGAGAAGTGAAGAGAGACTGAATTGCCAATTTCATATGGGGTAGGGGGTTCTCCTTGTTTGGTATTTTTATCCAAGGACGTTTGTTTAGGAACTTAACAAGAGCTTCTCTTTTGGCGTCCTTTATGCCATCGTAGGCTGTCCCGTCTGGTATTTGAATTGGAATTCCAGTCGAAGTCTCGAGCTGAAGTGTAGACCTTCCAGAAATAGTGGTGAACTTGACCTTGGGCTTCATTACCCTGCGCAAGTACTGCTTAACAACTTCATTTATCTCTATAAGGTAAATTGCCTCGTCAAATCCTTCTGGTATTCCGAGTCCTTCCATCCGACAGGAAAATATTTTCCCGACAACTGGAAAAAATTTTCCCGACGACAGGAAGGACTCTTCCAGTTGTCCGTCCGTAAACCATTCAAATTTTCGAAAATTGAGAACTTTTGGTCGAACTTCAGAAAAAGTTTTTCCTTCCGACAGGAAAGGTTTTCCTTCCGACAGGAAAGGTTTTTCCTTCCGACAGGAAAGGTTTTTCCTTCCGACAGGAAAGGTTTTTCCTTCCGACGGTTAAGCCACAAACAGATGTCCGACGTACCACCAACCGAGCCCATTCCCAAACCAGAGGAACCTAAAGCACCAGCCCCTGCACCTCAGCAACCTCAGTTCCAGCAAGTCCCTCCACCAAATTACTACCAATTTCCACCTCAAGGTTACTACCTACCACAAGGCTTCCCGAACTACCCTCCTCCTCAGCCTATGCCTTACTTCCCCAACCCTTGGATGTTTATGCAAAACCCTGCCCCACAATTCCAATCTCAATCCAAGAGAGACCAAGAGTTCGAGGAAGGTCTGAACCGCTTACGCAAAGAGTATGCTACTACCCCAATGGAAGAAGACAGGCTTTCAGTCTCTTCCCTAAATCGACCATTCGACTCGTACCACAGATTCGGTTCGTGACCGTGAAGACTACCTCAAGCAGTCTGAGAGACTCTTCATCCTACAATCATTTACAGTTGGAGCTCTCAAGAACATGCGCAATTACGAAGGTCAGACACCAGCTGGAGACCGCAAAACAGACGTACTCGCAAGAGCAGTCCAACTGGTCAAGACAAAGACCGAGATAGTCGACTTCATTCTTGCAGCTTGCCCATACAAGTAAAAAAATAAACAATTACGAGTTAAACTTTTTATTCTTTCTTTTCTGAGTTGTTTAGAGCTGGTTTCTCTTGTAGAAACCTTTCGTACTCTTCCATGGTCATGTAATTGCGAATTTGGTACGCAATTCCAGGTTCGTTGTTTTTGAACCTTACGTATGTAACGCTTCCATCCTCCTCAGGGAAGTAAGCTGCTAACATCTGACCAAGTTTTCTCGGTGACTCGGAGCTCATAAAAATGTCACTTTTTAAACGTTAAGTTTTTAGTCTTATTTTACCCTTTGTTTACCCTTTGTTTGTCAAGGTAGTATTGGAGTGCAATTTCTCCAAATTCTCTGTGTCGGAGTTCTTCAGCATTTTCCAAGGTGTCCCTGGAGAACTCAAAGAAGTTGTCAAGAACATACTGCCATGCTGCTCTTCTGAGTTCGTCGGTATTTTGGAAGTGTTGCACCTTCGAGTCTTCGGACATGAAAAAATAACACTTTTTCTATTAAACCGTTTTGGCATTTCTCATGAGTGAGTATAGTTCTGCCGAACCATTGGAAGAGAAGAAGTACCCTTGCTGGCAAAAGACAAAAAGTTGCCTTAGTTGTCATTGCAATTGTACTCGTAATTGAATTCATTGTACTTCTCTTCACGTACATAAAACTCAAGGACGGCATATGCTTTAAGAAGCTACCATCTTACTAAGACTAAACACTTAGATTTTTCAAGCTTGACTTTTTACAATTTGAATTTTACACCCAAAAATATATTTTAGGGTAGATGGGTATATCTAACCTCTTTTCTAACCTCTTTTCTACCCTCTTGAATTTTCATGAATTTTATACAGAAAATGCTTGTTTTGAGGTCGAGCCACTTTTGGCTCGACCGTATTCTTTCAACCAAAACTCATGAATTCGGCAAAAATATATTTTAGGGTAGATGGGTATATCTAACCTCTTTTCTAACCTCTTTTCTACCCTCTTGAATTTTCATGAATTTTCCCGAAATAAAAAATAAAGTTGGTTTTTTTAAAAAAATATTTTTTTATTTTTATTGTAAGAACATGTTAGCAACAACAGCACCAAACTCGTTAGTCATGAACCCAACTTCAATGTTAGTAGAGATGAAAAGCTTCATTCCTTCTTCATATACTTTTGAAACAGAAATCCAGAAGATAAAGCAAGAACTTTTAACAAATAATTTAGACTGTAGTGCGAAAGATGAAACAAATGAACAGTATCTTTATGAAATGCAGGACATTATTGACCATTTACCCAAATTGCCTGAAATTCAGCAACAAAAACTCACTATTCCTGAATTCGACGAAATTGAAGTCAAAGCAACCGACTCGGTAGAAATAAAGAAGTTCATTCGTAAGGTAAACTATGAGTTTCTAGGATTTCATTGCAACCACAAAGTCATGGACAAAGATTGCGACATGGTATATAAGAACATCTCTGACATATACAAATCTGGGGAGTTTAAGACCTACGACAACTTTGTTTCGTTAGTTGCTGAATGTGTATGGCAGATAAGAGATAAAGATAGAAGAGGTAAGATATGGAATGAACAGATAAAACCCGCAACTTTTGAGTTAAAGAGAGCAATTGACGCCTTAGTCATACTAGCAGGTAAGGTTTCAGAATATAACGCAAAAATGAACCCACAATGTTCTAAATGTAAAGCAGCAATGAGGAAATATAACTACTCCGTCAAAGAGATAGAACGTATGCGAAACGACTATGCTGACTTAAAGAGGGAGGCAGAGAAACCAGCAGAAGATAAAATGGACATGTTGACATTTCTAAACAAAAACTATCCAACAGCTGACGATTTCCTTCTTTCAGATGTCAAGAAGAAATATAAAGAAACTTTCGGCATTGTGAAAACATTCGATATCCTTCGTGAAGAAATCGAAGCCACAAAATTGTTTAGAATTTCACGAATTCACAATGTTTACCATGTAAAACGCTTATAAAATAACTGGGGTAGAAATGAGGTTAGAAAACAGGTTAGATATACCCATCTACCCTAAAATATATTTTTATTGAATTCAGCAACAAAATTCTGAGTAAAATGACATATGGAACACATACTTTTTTCAGTAAGGACATATGGGGTAGAAATGAGGTTAGAAAACAGGTTAGATCTAACCTTCTACCCTAAAATATATTTTTGCTGAAAAAAATGACCAAATTTCTGAGTAAAATGGCATATGCTTGCTTCCCTCGGAAAAACCGAGAGAAGAGATTCCGTATGAAAACAGTGAAGAACAGCGAGTAGGTAAGAAACCCCAGTCGCCAAAACTCTATGAAAACAGTGAAAAATAACAGAGTATTTTGACAACTTCAAACAAGCAGAGTAAATGAACCATTTATTTTTATTGACTTTTTACAATTTGAACTTTGTTCGCGTAGATGTGAATTCTGAAAGAAGTATGAGGGTCTTGTATGACTTTGTACTTCTCCCATAGTTCATGTCTGTCAAACTTACCTGCCATGGACTCTTTCATAAGTTCCATGAAATCGTCTTCGGACAATCCGGGGAAAAGTACAATGTCAGTAAGTATTCTCTTTACATCCTTACTTAAACTCTTTGCTGTCTGTACACAAATGACAACTGAGATGTTAAAGTGTCTGAGCTTCTTAAGAATTCGACACATGTCTTGTTCTCTATTCTTTAACAAAGGATGAGAAGCAAAGTCATCTAAGATAAGAAGACATCTGTGAGGGTAAGTCTTCCAATCGTAAGATTGCAATTTCTTCGAAATGTATTCTATCTCTTTCTGTTTGTTTCTGAAGTGTTTCTTCTCTAATATTCTCTGCATTTCCTCATTTGGGTCTTTAAACTTCGAATTTATATACTCATTTATAGCATTGTACTTCAAAACCCTTCTTTGGTACTTCTTTATCCAATCTAACAACTCAGAGTCTTTTATACATACTAACTTAGACTTTTTTATAATATCTTTGAACGAATTGACGGTTTGGTCAAATTGACCAGAAGTACTACAAATGACTACTAACTCATAGAATGGGTTCTTCTCATCTAGTTCTTGTTGTTGTGCAGCCATTTTAAGATAAGTGAAAGTCTTACCCGACCCAGGTGGTGCAATTAGACCTGTTATACCATTCTGAGCAAATAAGAACTTGTCATGTATGGGTTTTATCTGAGCATTTTCCAACTTCCTCTTGTTCTTGTTTAAAACATTCTCAAATTTCTTGTCAATGTCAGCAAACTTTTTTTCTAACATATTTTTAGAAAAATTAAAATTTTTATCTTTTAGAAAATGTCTAGCGATTTCGCTATCTATATTCGAGACAAACTTTTTGACAGCAAAACTTCTGTCGACCATAAAATCTTACATAGTGTAAACAAGAAAGGTGAATTTGTTCTAAAGTTCTGTTTCTGGGAATATGACAAGAACCATAAAACATTAAGCAGAGAAGTCTTAAAATTTGTCAATGACAGACTTGTTGACAGAGATGACGCCGATTGGAAAGCTGAAGTCCAACAAAAGTTCTTAGAATGCAAAGAAGACACATGCGCTGTTCTTGAAGATGAAATAGAAAACAGAATAGAAGAGCTATTAAAGGACAAAGACCTTTTACAAAAATATGGTTCTGAGAAGTTTGACATAACTCCACCAGAGAAGAAGAAGAAGAGAGAGAAGAAAGAAAAGAAAGTAGAAGAAGAGAAGAAAGAACCTGAACCAGAGCCAGAGAAGAAGAAATTTGACATGTAAAAATAAAATTTTATTTTTAGAACATTTCTGGGTCAATGTCAATGTTCTCTTCCTCTTTAGGAGCAAACACTGGTTTAGACTCTAAAATCTTTTTACCCAATTTACCTTGAACTTCAACTATCTTAGACTCATAATATTCATAGTCGTCTGCTTTCTTTGGTTCATAAGGTATAACAAGTTTGTATGCTTTGCCTTCTTCGAGTTTTGAGAACTTTCTGTCAAAATTTTCTTTGACTGTAACATAACCTCATGTCTAAGTCTTCAAATTTCGCACCATTTTTAGTCACAATAGCAAACTTAACTGGTTCGATGTTCCAAACTTTGTCAAATGTAGACTTTTCAAAATGGTAGAAGTAAACATTCAAATATGCGAATGGGTCTAGTTCTTCTTTGACTTCTGTCATGTACTTGTTTACTGAGATGAATTTTGCCATCTTTTCTATCGGATAAAAAAATATTTTTTTAAAATTTACTCAGAAAAATTTTTCTTTGTATATACGCCGTTCTGAACATCTAAAAGATTTTTGACATTTGCCAAGAATGTTCGTTTAGACGCTGTCATATAACCATACTCTTGGCAATATTGTTTATATTCATCGTACAATGACCTTTCATCCAAACACTCAAAGTTAGTCTCATCTATAAACAGTTCATAAACACTCTTGTTTGCTTCTAACAATGTTTGTCTTTCTTCGGTATGTGGAATTTGTCTTGGATTGAACTTAGAAATATCTAATGTCATAAAATATGAGAACAAGTGGTTGTAAAAGTCAGATGTCAAAGTTTCTGCTAAGTCGTCAAAATATTCTGTATCTTGCATATGAGCTTCTGACGTTTTGACAACTACATATCTTCTGTCAGAACTTTCTAACTTCATCGGAACAGCATTGTTTGAAACCATAATGAAATTTGCAACATTTTCACAAACTCTTTGGTCTTTATATTTTCTTTCAACAACTCCAACTTTGTCTGTTATAAGACTCTTCAAAGCATCTGAGTTCAAAACCTTTGTTGTATCTATACTTTGAAGTTCGTTACATACTATAAGTTTCATATTCTCTATTGAGGAGTTAAATTTACCGCAGATGTTTTCTAAGTTTGTCATATTCGGGTTCGAATAGCCCTCTAACAGTTTGCACAAAATATCTGTAAAGAAAGTGTTCTTACCTGTTCCTTGTTTTCCAATTACAATGAGAGCAGTTTCATTTTTAGCACTTGGATGTTGTAAGATGTTTGCAAACCAACATAAGATATACTCATAGACTCTTTCGTTTCCATTGCATATAATTTCTTTGACATGGTCTAACCAAGCTTCTATAACATTTTCTTTCCATTCTACTTGTTCGTATTTATATCCAGTGAAGATAGAATAGAAGTTTGGAGATGGTGTATAAAACTTTATACCACGAACTGAAAAATCTTCTAACTTTGACAATAAGATATCCCAAGCATCTAACATCTTCATGCCAACTTGTACGACTTTTATTTTCTTAAGTTTCTGTTTACATTCTTGTTCTGAAACTATTGTTGCTCTTGGTTTGTTAAAGACTACATCCCATTCTTTCATACATAACATTCTGGGGCAGAGTCGACATAAATGACTAAACGTTTCAAATTCTCGACTGCTTTGTTATAGTCTCGAAATGGACACATATTTCTGAATGCTTGGAAGTCATAAAAATCTGAAACATCTATTCTGTACATTTTTATAAAAATAAAAAAAAATATTTTTTTTTATTCTTGAGCTATTTGTTGCATTTGTTGTTCTTGAGCTATTTGTTGCATTTGTTGTTCTTGAGCTATTTGTTGTTGAAGTTGTTCTTGTAATACAATACTTTCACCGGTTGCATCTTCCAATTCGAAACTTTCTGCCGTCATTGACAAATACATAGGACATAAAAGTTTTACAGGAACAAAGTTTGCGTCAACTAAGGTTAAGTTTATGTTTGCTAAAGTGTTTGAGTTCACTAAAGCTGAAAACTCTGCATTCGAATGAACAATAGGCAAACCAGCAGAGAAAGTGTTGTTTATACGCATGAGTATCTTTTGGTCATAGTAGTTTCTGTCGACATTCGAATAGCACTTTGAACCTAAGTTTGAAACAATATATAAAATAGGTGTACTTAAAGTCAATGGAACAGACAAACCTTGTATGACACCTTTTCCTCTTATAGGAAACTGTTGGTAGTAAAAACCAGATATAAGTTTTGTATTATAGCTCATATCGTTTATAGTAAACTCAGTCGGACATCCAAACATAATGAAACCTGCTCTAGTTGCAGCACATGTTACATCCGTCCTTAAAGTATTAAATAAGTCAACAAAACCTGTTGGTGGTATATCTGAGTAAGTATCTTCAAAGAAGTATTTTTTACCATTCACAACAACAAAGTCTTCTGGTGTCAAAAGAGCAAAACAGGCTTTAGTCGTCATCGTGTTTAAGGTCAGTTTACAATATCGTCCTTGAGGACTTTGTAAGTTTGTTGTTATAGAATTATATGACTCAGGGTTTTTAGTCGTAATAGTATAAACCACTATGTCTTCTGCCATTTACTTAGCAAACAAACTTTAATGAAATGTTGTGGTCGTCAAATATTTTTATGACGTCTGGGAAACTATATTTTAAGTTCAACGTTTCACCTCCTTTCATAACGTATATCTTGTCAATGACATTGTATGAAACACCACAGCAAGCAATGTCGGGTTCTATTTCTTTGATGTTTATATCGTCTGCCTCTGTCAAAAGTTTCAATAGTTCTTTCAAAATTTCATGAGGTGCGATGACATATGAGTTCACTTTTACAGGGTTGTGTTCGACCAAGTTTAACATTATACCCAAAGCTTGACAAATCTTCTCCTGAGTTTTAAGTTTGTCTTTAAGTTGTTGGTAGTCATTTCGAATATCTGCAACAGAACTTAAGTCTCTGCTAACTTCAGGGTATGTTGGTTGTTCTTTTACAGGAACTATTGTTATACCATCTTGGTCTTCGTATGGTTTCCCCACTTCAACATCTCTTTCTTTGACATTGACAACAACACTTTGACTGTTTGTTTGAGTTGGTGAATTTAACTTCACATCTGCCACCGCCATTAAACCTTTTGAAACACTTACGCTTCTATTTTTCGGAAATGACATTTTACTTAGAATAAAAAGATGGACGTATTGAGTATCTCTTCGAATTGAAGCAGAACAAAGTTTACACACACAAACAATACAAATACATTGACAGAATAGTTCTTTATACAAACAATGGAAAATGTTATAGAATAGCAGTCTTTGCTGAACCAAAATATTTTCATAAAGCAAAGAAAGTTGGTATAACTGAAATGGTGAAAGTTCTTGAAGCAGACAAAAATATAACAACAAAACTTACAGATATTTCTAAAGGTAAGTTTATAATACAATTTATGTCAAAACTGGCGTACTGTCAATATTTGACGGAGAGAAGTCAGTTCAAGAACAACTTACTGACCTGCTGCCAAAATCTGCTCGATGGAAGCTGTCGTTATGCCAATCTGAGGAGCCCCAGCAGGTTTCATCGAACGAATCTTCAAAAGAGCATCTTCCGTGAAAAGTGCTATTGGTTTTGTAAACTTCTTTGCTTTCAATTCATCTGGACCGTCTCTGTCACCAGTATATTGTATTTGTACAGTACCAACAGTTGAAATACCACCCATAAAGTCTTCTGAGTCAGCAAATGGAATGCCAAGCCAAAAGTTTGAACGGTCTCCATTTGTATATTGAGTTTTTTGACCTCCTGTATGAGTCCATACTTTCACATATGGCATAATAGAACTTTGCATTTCAGGGTTAATGGTTGTTGTGAAGTTGTTGTTAAAGTTCATAGCATCTAATGTCAAGTTGTATGACCTCATATCCTCAACTGTAGAATATTCTTCTCTTGGATAATATTTGCCATCTATGTTTATATGATATTTAATACCAGGGTTGTAGAAACAAGAATAGTCATTTATAGTTCGTCTGAACAGTACAAACATAGTATCTGCATGTTTCATTGCAGTTGTTAAAGCAATATCTGTTCTTGCACCTGGGTCAGCACTTTGGTTTCCAACTTCACCTGCAAAGTCTTTGACAGATATTTGGTGTATAGGGAACATAAGTGGAACTGCAATATATTTGGCAGCTAAAGCATTTGAAATATCTGGGTCCAACATATAGACTGCAAGTCTGCTTTCTATTCTCTTGCATTCAAACTTTTCGCATGTGAACTTAACTGGGTCCCAAGCAGTTCCAGCAGCATTGAAATAATAGTTTACTTCAGTGTTGAGGTTTGAGAAACCAAAGTCTAAGTCAACTTTGTCTTTGCAAAATTCGGCGAATGACGTTTGATTTGCTCCCTTTACGTCTGTAAGAGTGAATGGGTCTTGTGTTGGTGCAATGACTAAGTTATTTTTGCTTGGAGTAAGTTCGATAGAAATTTTTCCTGCCCAGTTTGGCAAGTATCTTAAAAACCTGAAGATGAGGAAAGATGACAAAGGAACTCTAAGTTTCAGTTTTACTTTGGTTACTGCTGCTGCAGTTTGTCCAGAAAGGTTAACATAAACTCCTGGAACGTTAGGGTCAAGTCTTCTTATTTTCTCAATAGTTGCATACTGGTCTGTTTGTTCTCTAGCTTGTGGTTGTACTGAGTTTCTCAAAGCGAACCATTCATAGTTTGCCCATGTTACTGTTTGAACTAAGTCAGAGTTAGAATATATCTTATATCCCATGAAAACTTCTGGAGCATATTGGTATCCGACATAGAAAATTCCATTGCAACCTTTCTTGTCAGACAACTTGGCAGAAGGTTTTATTTCAATGTCTTGTTCCACGTATAAGAAAGAGTTGTCAATAGAAATAATATGAAACCTGTCGCAAGCAATATCTACTGTTGTTGAAGAACCTTCTCCAAACTCACCTACGTTTCCATAAGAAACAGCAGTTGTATATTCGTAAGTTCCAGGAACTATTTCTGACCTTCTAATGGCATTGTCGCATTCGTTATACCATTCGGAAACATTTCCATTCATAGCATCCAAAACTGTTGGCGTTATATTCTGAGCGGCGTACATTTCATATGAGTAAAAATATAGAATAGTTGGATTTATATGTCATAATAGAACCCACGTGGACCAAGCTTTACTTTCTTCCTGACTGAGTTTTTAACTCTTCTTTTTCCTTCATTGCCCTCTGCTTGAAGTTGTTGCATCTTTGCATTATGTTCATCTAGTATGTTGCAAATTTCCCATGTCCTTTTTGCCTTTTGGCTCTGGTCGCCCATCTCAGGTAACCTATATCCTAGAAAGAGTTTGTCATAGTCTGTATTTGAGTCTTCGCGTATTGTTTGCATGACTCTTTCCTGAGTTTCCGGTTCAAGCTCTTCAAACAGTGCCTGTCCATATGGAATATGCTCGTTTCCAAATATATGTTTTTGTAGCCATTCTGGTTTTCTTTCCATGTTACCAATATATCTTTTGTGAATGGGAAAGCTTTTACCCAATCTTTCAGTCTTGCGTCATTTATTTCTGTAGTTGGTTTTATTTTGTCAAGGAACATGTTTTTCAATACTAACATTTCATTTGGTACTGTCCATTTGAGTTTTCTTAAATATTCATCCCTTCTCGTTCATTGTCTGCAAAGTAAGTTTTTATGACATTTTGTAAACTTTCGTTTGCAAGGTCATGTACAATAGGTTCTCTTCCTTCTCTCCCTAACTTTCTTTCTAAACTCTTCACCAAATATACCATCTCTATGGTTCTGTGTAGTTCTTTGAGATAAATGTTTAGAACGTCAGGTGTTATATTTCCATCAGCCATGTTCATTTCATACTGGTCCAAAATATCTGCATGTTTCATATCTTTCAATGGCATTAAAGCCGCGCTTAAAATACCAGCTATATCTGGTTCACCATTGACTTCCATTGCGTCTACAACTTCTTGGAATTTGGTTGTAAGTTTATGAACCACCTATCCGGGTTAGCTTTATGACCCCATCTCATTGTAGTTCCATCGTCTGCAGAAACAAAAGTAGGTTTGTTTCCATCTTGGTTAGGTTCTGAATGAACTTTAAACAATGTTTCATTTCTATATGTTTTCTTGAAATTTAACCTTTTATTTTCACCGAGTTCATCCGAAGATTGAACGTTAAATGCTCGTAAGTAAAAAGGGTTGTTGTATTTGTGTACATTTTCTTTCAGTTCTTCCATTCTATGCTGAATATTTTCATCTGTGTTGGAGTCTTTTGTATGTCGGCAAACATTTTTCGATATTCTTCTACTATGTCAGCCGAATTTTTTTAGACTCTTGGAAATATTCCATATTCTCCGCATACTCTTGTTGAGGGTCAAGATTTTTCGGCTGTTCCAAATCTTCATCTAGTTCTGTGAAGTTAGTTTCCAAAGGAGGACTTGTTCGTTTCCTTCAGGCTCTTCTAGCTGTTGTTGCTGAACTATTTCTTCCATGTCTGGTTGTATCTGAACTTCTTCCTGTGGAGTTTCTTGTACCTCATCTGCTGGCATTTCATATATTCCGAGACCGTTTTTCAACAAGTTCCCTATCTAAGTCATCCGCATTCATAAGCTTTTGTTCTTTCGTTCCGTCTCTATTTTTACGCGTTTCATGAGAAGTTGAATTGTCATTTAGCTCTGACACCAAATATCTCGGAGTAAATTCAGTCATGTCATTTGGATGATATGCTATTAAATCATATCCCTTAGCGAGCTTGTATTTTCCAGGTTTGAAATTATATCCGATTTTATGCTGAGCCATAAAGCTAAATAGGTTCGGGTCAATATTTCCTTCCTTGAACTTTTTAATAGCTTCTTTATATCTGTCACTAAAGTCAATAGTATCTGGGAAACCACACTCTTCTTTAAGCATTTTTAAGAATTCTTGGTTTCCTTGTTCTCTACTTCTTTTATGTCCTTGCTCTGTTTGTGGTTGTTGTTGTGCAGGGTTTTGAACTGTTGGTTGCTGTGCTGGTTGTTGTGTTGGTTGTTGTGCAGGGTTTTGAACTGTTGGTTGTTGTGTTGGTTTTGGTGCATGCCTGTGTCTGTGTCCATGTGACGATGTAAATGTTCTAGGTAGTCCTGGTGCAGGTGCTTCTCTTGGAGGGTTTGGTGGTATATAAATTCCACCAGCTGGCACATATGTTCCATCTGCAGCGTAATGTCCTACCTGACTTTTCGTTCTTAAGAAAGCATTTACTAGGTCTGTTTTGGTCTGTTGTAACTCTTTTTCTTGACTTTTCACAACAGTTGCTCTAACGGCGTCATAGGCACTTTGAACTGCCTGTCTCGTTGCTGCATCTGTTATTTTCGTCATATTTTGTGCTACTTCTTTTAACTCTTTGTCGAAACCTTCAGACTTCAGTTTCTTTCCAGATGAGAAGTCGTTCACTTGTTTCACCTTACTATGAAGAGCTTCGAAGGCGTTCTTAAAGTCAGCATTCATTAAAGCTTCATTTGAACTGTCTTCATCCGCTTGTATTTTTGTCCTTATTGACCCTATGAGTTGGGCTGCTTTAGCGTTGGCTTGGGCATCTAACCAGTCATTGTTAGCTTTTATATATTCTGCGCTTTTCATTGCCTTTTGCATGGCTGCGTCGTTATTTTTACTTTCTTGTGCTAAGTTTTCATACTGTACGGTTTGGTTCTGCAACTGTAAAAGTTTTTCTGCCTTTACATTTGCTTCAACTTCTTTTTTATACTCATCGCTATCCATATATGTCTTCAGGGCTTTTTGTTTTATTTCTTCATCTTTCAGTACTTTATATCGAGTAGTATGGTTTTTCAAATTTACAACATCTTGTTCCATTTTTTGCTACTTCTGCTGCTTTTTCTGACACTTTTTTCGCATATTCCTCTGTACTTAGTTCTTTCAGTTGTTCTTCTTTCTTCTTTTTCTCTACGTTTAACTCATTGAGTTTCTTTGTGTGTCTGTCATATTCTAGTTTCTTTTCGTTTTCACCTATTTGCTTCTGTATGTCTATGTTTGACTTTTTGACATCTGCTATTTGATTTTTGAGTGAACTCAAATTCATTTGACTTTGAGGGTTATAGGCTGTTCCGTCTGCAGCTCCACCATAGCCTGCCATTTTCGCTAAAAGTGCCGCTCTTAAACCTCCACTCTGTGCACCAACAACTCGGTTTAAAAGCATAGGATTGCTTGACATTTGTTGCAACATAGTGGGGTCATTCAGCATTTGTTGTTGCAACTGTTGTTGTGGTGTTAGTCTTACTATTGGATGTTTCAATGCTCTCTTCCTCTTACGTATATTCTTACGTAGCTTACGTGGCATTTTAAGTGAAGTTAAAAAGCGGTTTTTGACAGATGTTTATATGACACTTTTTGTTCAGCACAAAAAACTACTCGGTCAAAGTGTTGTCAGTTTTGTAAAATAACCGTCCTATCTCATTCTATAAGGGGAAAAGTCTTCTCAAAGTATACTTCCTTGGAACGCCTGTAACTTTTCCTGTAGCGACGATAGACCCTTACTTGTCCGGACAAAGTTATACTATTTTGAGTGCTCTACAAAAAAGTCAACGGCGACGACTCTCAAAAACCGTTGTGTAAAAAGTTTTACCGTTGGACAAAAAAGTATATATAGAAAACAAAAAACGTTTATAGTTCATTCAATATTTGAGATGGAACGGTTTGCCAACGGTAACTATTAAATAAAATAAAAAAATAGAGGGGGTTACCGTTGACGAAAACGGTTTATTTTAAACTTTTCTATGAGTAGTCCGAAAAAAACAGTTCATTTTTGTCTAATGGAAGCCAACATTAACAATTCTCAACCGCTAACCAAAGCCAAAGCCCCACAACCTCCAAGAACTGGCACAGCTGTTAGAATAACCGCCAAAAAGTCTAACAGCGAATTAAGAGAAATTCTTCAACAAATTTGCTCTAAATATCTCAAAGACGCCGAAGAAAACACACAACCAGACGCTATATACAATACTCAGTTCTGTGAAGTTCTGAACAAAGCAATTGCTAGTTCAATTGAACTTACTAAGACAATTCCAAGTCCAATTGAGCTTAGCGATGTCTTAGTTCAGTATTTTCCAACATTTACCAAGCTTATAATGTTGAGAACTTTATACCAAGTTCGTCAAAATCTTCCTCGTTACATGCAACGGTCATTCGACAAGAGAATTGCCGAATTCCAAGTCTTTAGTTACGGATATGACCAAGATGAATACATTGACGAGTTCGGAGACAACTGTACAAAATGGTTTGACTGCTATACGACTACACAATTTGAATTCGACTTTCTCGAATTCAACGCAGCAACCATTTATATCATTGCTCTTTACCTTTCCGAACAACAACAAGACCTCGCAGATGGAGATGTTGTTACTGTCGTCATGGAAACTCCTGAACAATTCGGAAAAAAGAAGTCTCTAATTGCCAAATTTGTTCCAGGACATCAGCTTTTCCAACGCACAGAAGTCTTCTGTATTCCTGGAACTCAGTTCTTTGTCAGGAGCGAACTCAAAGAAAGATATAATGTGTCATTCAATTACACATTATATAATGTTTTCGACCCAGAAGAAGGCTTCTTCCCAGAAGCAATGGAGGAAGAAGAAGAAGAAGAAGAAGAAATATAAGACTCTATCCAAGAAGAGTCCTCCGAATTCACACCAGAAGATTAACAATTTTCAGAATAAAAACTTAATTTTATACTAAACATCTTCGGGGCTAGAAGGGGCGCAGCCCCTGGAAGCCCC